AGAACTGAAGTTGTATAGATAGAATTTTGTCCTAGAGAAATAAAGTAAATGGATACAAAGCATGGTATACATAGATTCTTTTCCCTCAGATAACCCCACACTGCACATAGAATCTTCCTCAGGATTCTGGGAGAAATCTTCTCAGGGCAGGCCCTTGGGAAAATTCCAATAGGAAAGATTTTTCTCAGCCCTTCACTCTGCAGTAGTGTCTGTCTTTGAAGTTGAGGTATGTTTCTTGTATGCCACAGAAGGACGGATCTATTTTCATTTCCATTCTGTTAGCCTGTGTCTTTTTGTAGGCAAATTGAGTCCATTGATATTAAGGGATATTAATGACCAGTGAATGTTAATTCCTGTTATCTTTTGGTAGCAGTGTGTGTGTATTTTCTGTCTTTGGGATTTGCTGCTGTGGGGTTATCTATTGCCTGTGTTTTTGTGGATGCATCTGACTTCCTTATGTTGGAGTTTCTTTCTAGTACTTCCTGTAGGACTGGATCTGTGGATAGGTATTGTTTAAATCTGGTTTTATCTTCGAATGTCTTGTTCAGTCTGTCTATAGTGATTGAAGATTACACTGGGTATAGTAGTCTGAGCTGGCATCCCTGGCCTCTTAGTGTCTGCATTACATCTGTCCAGGACCTTCTGGCTTTCAGAGTCTCCGCTGAGAAGTAGGTGTTATTCTGATGGGTCTGCCTTTATAAGTCACTTGGCCTTTTTCCTTTGCTGCTCTTAATATTCTTTCCTTATTCTGTATGTTTAGTGGTTTAATTATTATGTGGTGAGGGGACTTTTGGGGGGGGTGTCTAGTCTATTTGGTGTTCTATAAGCTTCTTGTGTCTTCATAGGTATTTTCTTCTTTAAGTTGGGAAAATTTTCTTCCATGAATTTGTTGAATACATTTTCTGTGGCACACTTCTTAAATATTAAATTCTTCAAATCTGCCCTGCAGGAAGGGACACCAGCCCATCTGAGCATGAGCCTCTGACAGCTCTTGCCCTTCTCCCCAATTCCCTCTGCCTTGCAAAAAACTGTTAGATTACATTCCTAAAGCTAGCCACCAAAGTCTGTTCCCTTATTTGGCCACTTCCTCTTCCTGAGGCTGACTACTAAGGTCCAGCTACCAAAGTATTAAAGTGCAGCAATCAATATCCCCCTTTGATTCACCTAATTAACAGGCTCAATCAAAATATACTACTGCATCCTAGCCCATTCTAATAGAGACCTCCCCCCCCTTTTTTTTTTTGTTTTTGTTTTTGTTTTTCGAGACAGGGTTTCTCTGTGTAGCTTTGTGCCTTTCCTGGAACTCACTTGGTAGCCCAGTCTGGCCTCGAACTCACAGAGATCCAACTGCCTCTGCCTCCCGAGTGCTGGGATTAAAGGCGTGCACCACCACCGCCCGGCGAGACCTCCCCTTTTTATCTTCTTAAAAATTACACCTGCAAGGCCATTTGCTACTGTTTTTCTGCCTGAGTCAGAAAGCAGCCACTTTAACTTTTCTTCCCCACTTAATATAGATCTTTCTGTGAAAAAAAGATGTATTTGGGTGTGGTTTGTGCCTAATTGGGGACCTGAGAAGGCCCTCAAGCTCTGTGTGTGTAAGAGGGGGCGGTGTCTTCTTCACTGTATAATAGTTCTCTCTGTTAAAAATCCATTTTATCTAGACATAGCCATGTTACCTACAGCACTGTTAATACTCCACATACAAAAACAAAACTCGGGGTCTTTTAATGAAAAGCCAGTGGAAAACTAGCGCTGAATTCACAGTGAAGTATTTTGTATTCTAGGTGTAAAGCAAACCAGGCTAACTCACTGATAGGATGATAAATGGCGCTGTTTGCAGTGCTGGTTACCACGTGGAAAGGTCACAATCACGACAGAACCCAGTGGTAGTTTTTAGAGCTTTATTAGGAGGGAAAAGGGGGAAGGAGAGCCAGTGCTTGGGGGAGGGAGCAGAGCAGAGAGCAGAGAACAAAGAGAGAGGGTGGGGGCCCATGTCCAGCTTTCTAAGGCACAGATTGTGACCATGCCATATGTACATAGACACCAGTGCCCGTTGATAATGTAAGATGCAAGACTCCAAGCTGTGCATGTGCTGGAGTGAGGGCAGGATCCTAACACTCACAAGGTTCATATTTAGCAACAAAATTCCTAGAAAGCTTATGCAGTTAAGAAAGTTTACTGCTCTTGAAGAGGATTGAAGTTTGGATCCCAGCACCCATATCAACACCCAAATCCATGTACCTGAGTTTTAAGGAATCTGATGCCCTCTTTGGGCCTCCATAAGCTTCTGCATGCATAGTGTACCCATGTGTGCATACTCTCAGGCAGACACATATGTATGTAAAATTATCTTTAAAAATTGAAAAGAAGAGCTGGGAGTTGGTGGCTCACACCCTTAATCCCAGCACTCAGGAGGAAGAGCCAGGTTGATCTCTGTGAGTTCAAGATCCAGGACAAGCACCAAAACTACACAGAGAAACCCTGTTTCAAAAAAACAACAACAAATAAAATGAAAAGAAGAAAGAAAACAACTATAGCACTGTGGCCAGGAGTTGCGTTTGGATTTCACACAAGTGATTCATGGGGTTTTGTTGTTTGAGACAGGGTCTCTCATTATGTGTCCCTAGCTGTTCTGAAATGTTCTATGTAGACCAGACTGGCCTCAAACACACAGAGATCCACCAGCCTGTTCCTCCAGAGTGCTGGGATTAAAGATGTGTGCCATCATGCCCAGCTGTTTGTCTTTTGAGACAGGGTCTCTTTGTGTTACCAAGCTGGCCTCTGACTTCTGGGTGTAAGTGATCCCCCTGCCTTACTCTTAGGTAGTTGGCTGAAACTAATTATAGTTGTGTATCAGAATGCACCTTCAAGTTTTCTAGTTTGGGGTTTTGTTTTTGTTGTTGTTTGTCCATTTGTTTTGGTATTTTATATAAAGTCTTGCCATGTAACCAACCCTTGGTGATAACTACATAGTCATAGTCCAGGCTGGTTTCCAATCTTCTCTAGACTAGAATTACAGGCATGAGTCATCTTTATATTTTTTTTAATTATGTGTACTAGATTGTCTATGTATGGCACCAATGCAGAAATATGCCCCCCCCCACCTTAGCCCAGTGAGAATTCACTCCACACACTCAGGAAAAATAAGGGTCAAAAAGTTTTTTAATCATAGTTGGAGTTTGGCTATTGCTAATGTACAGAGGAGCTGGGTGGGAATAGAATATTTTGTTAACTTATATATCCTTTAGACTTAGGAATTCTACAAATGCTGTCATCCTTAAATCTTTCAGGTCTTGTCCCCAGGCAACACGGAACAATTTAAACAGACAAGAGACTATAAGTTTGGCCACTTAGGCATGTGGGAGATTTATACAGCAAAGTTATTGCCAGAATTATTTTTAAGTACATCAGTGTTTTTCTTTTCAAATATCTTGCCTGTCTGGCAGATTTATACTTTTCCTGAGAAGAGCTCAGGGAACTTAATGACAGACAAGGACTTAATGGTGGTCGTGACTCTGTGTTGTCCCCTTGAGCTGCCCTTTAGAGGCATGTTTTTTGATATGGGGCTTTGATATGGGGATGAGTCTTATAGCTGGTAGTAAGTCAAGATTGCTTCCTTTTGTTATAGGAATGGAGCCAGACTGGAGGTCAGTCAGGGAACAAACATCACTATAACCTTTCTCAGCAACCCTAAACTTCAATTGTACAAAATTTTCTTCCTCACAGTTTCTAACAAGCCTGTTTAGTACACTAATTATCTTCCAGTCATATTGGAGACAGCTCCTTTAGTAGAATTCAACTTTGTGTAACAATATTTCCTAAGCAAGTTTATTAGTAAATCCTTTATAGTATCAATTTTATTCACATTTCTCCTGCATCAGTATAAGCATGTGTGCAGTGCCCCCAGAAGCCAGAAGAGAGTGTTGCATCCCTGGGAGTTGGAGTCACAGGTTGTTGTGAGCTGCTGAGAACCCAGCTCCATCCTCTGCTATAGCAATACACACTATTGATTGCTGAGCCTCTTATGGGTCTGTGGTCATTCAGAGATACACCAGTCTGACCATGGATATATTTTTAACAAAGATGAGGCACCAAGGCTTCCTCCAGGACACAGGATTCCCAAATGTAACCAAGAGCCACATAAGTCAGGGGTTTGTTTACAAACACACACACACACACACACACACACACACACACACACACACACAAACCCATAAAGTTATATTCTGTTTTTCAAGTAGATGTCTTGCAGGTGTCCTGGTTATCTCCAGCAAAACATGCTTTTGTTTACAGAAGCAGAAAGAGCGGATACCTCTGGGACCATCTTACACACACAACAGTTTTGTTAAAGCTGTACAAGACCAGGCCATTACAAAACAACCTTTAACATTTAGATGTACAATTTTGCTTTGTAGTTAAACTTTTAAACATAAAACTACCCATCAACATAACTAATGTTAGCCATCACAAGCATATCTCCTGCCACCATACGGCGTTTTAAACACCAAAGCATTTCACATTTGACAGCACCAGCTCCTAGAAAATAGAAAGAATCCTACTTTAATTCGAATATGGCAGTGCAAATGTCCAGTAGAGAAGGAAAAAGTATGGGCGATTTTACATATCAACCCCAAATATCTCAGCCTCTGTGTCTGGTTTTTGTGAAGGCTATTATTTCCACTTGTGGATAAGAAACATTTGTATATCAGTTACTAGCTGATAAAGCTTTAGGCAGGGGTTTTAACTTTAATATTCAATTAATTGGGGTCAAGCTTCTGCCTTAAAATATCAGTTAGGGAGAACTAATTAGTCTTACTATGGGGCTAGAGAGATAGGGCAGAGGGAATCCTACGACCTCTTCTGGTTTTTATGAGAACTTGCACCCGTACCCTGCCCCCCCCCCAACCACTGCACCCCTCTCCTGTCACTGGAAACCCCATCCAATCGAAAGCACTGTTATAAGAGTTTCCAATCAGATTCCCTGACAGACTAGGGGCGGACTTTCTTCCGAACTAAGGTTCTCTTACCACCTCACCCCGACACCCCCATCCTCCGTCCTCTCTTGGGATCTGTCCTGCTCTTCTTTTAGGTCTAGGTATATGGAATTCTCCGTCTCGTCCTGTCGCCAGTGACTCGCTGATCGCTGCTGCGGGGAGCGACACAGTGAGGACGTGGGGGTCTAGGAACCGGAAATGGTGAGCGTGTGGCGTCCAGACTTGGGCTCTATGTCGGCCCTCCGCACCTTCCCGCCCTTCCCCTTCGGGCCGTCCTGTCTTTCCCCGCACTGGACTTGCGCCTGGGCTGCCGGGATCACGGGCACCGGCCTGGGGTGGCCAAGAGCGGCGTTCGAAGGTGGTCTGACCGGGAGTCCCTGGGCCAGCGTTCGAGCCTGTCTGTCCTTTCCGCCTAGGGCTCTCCATGCGCTTCTGGGTTTATGTGTCTATCTGCGAGTCTTTGGGGTTTTTGAATCTAACTCTCCAAATCTAGGTCTGTGAACGCCTTTATCCACTATGGCTTTGCTGTCGCGGGCTGGTCTCACCACCTTCAGGAAGCATCCCTTGAGTCATTTGGGGTCAGTAGGACATCAGCTAGATTCTCACTGATACTAACTTTTAACTTTCAGCTTGTTTCTCTTTGTGCGGTGAGGGGGCGGTTACTGAGAAAAGAACCTAGAATTTCCTACATGCTAAACAAGAGCTTTATTACCACTGATGTTGATCTTTTCCCTTTAATTATTGTTGTTGTTGTTGTTATTATTATTATTTTAAAGGCAGAGTCCCTCTGTGTAGCCCTGGCTGGCATGTAACTAGCTATGTAGACTCATTTTTTTTTTCTTTACTTTTTTGAGACAAGGTCTTAACTTTTTAGATGATCCAGACTGAATTTTTGATCTTTCTTCCTCAGTTATCCAAAATGGAATAACAGATCTGCACTATGAAAGCTGGCTCCAGTTCTTTGTAGAAGTGGAGAGAGGAGCTCAGGGAAGGAGATAATACTTGGCAGATGCCCAGGAGTCATTTGCTCATCTGTCTCCTCTGCTCCCCCTTGTTGCTTATGGGTTTAGGAGTGGTTAAGGGATTCTCAGAAGCTGAATGGGTGTTTCCTTGAAGTGTTCCTGCACCCAGCCAGTGTCCTTGAAGTACAAATTGATGCCGGGAGAATCCAAGATGCACACAGTGAAAGAGATTTGAAGATTTGGCAGAGGTCCTCAGAGACTGAGCAGGCAAGAGTGAGAGATAAACTGAAAAGCCACTGTTAGGACCCTCGGCCAGGCAATAGGGGATGGGAAGGTTGACTCCTGCACCCCACTTGCTGTCTCACCTGGTAGAGGGGCTGGCACATGGGAACAGGCTTATTTAGGGGAGGACATGATTTCAGAATCACAGGATCTGGGGAGTATACAGAGTCAGTCTCCTCCTTTGCCCATGCTGTGTGTGTCCCAGAAACTCTAGGCTTTTTCAGATTTCTCTTAGGATAGGGCCATTGTTGTGACAGGGCTGAGTACAGGCCACTGAGTCCCAGGGGAAGAGAGGAAGGCTTTGAAAACTGAAAGGGTAAAGAAGTGGGAGAGCAGGGACTACAGGCTTGTTATGGGGACACACAGGGGTCATATACCTGCTAGGGGTCCACAGACCTGGTAAGGGAAAACATAGACTATGTAACCTGTCCCCAGAGAGTGAGGCAGGAGGAAGAATCTAATGTTCAATTGTTCCGGACCACCTTGGGCTACAGAGCCATTTCAAGGCCAGCCTAAGCTAGTTAGTGAGACCATGTCTCAAACATACAAAGAAAGTGGGATAATTCATAGGCAAGTCTGCTGTCTCTGTTTCCCACCAATAAAGTACAAATGTGTTCTTATATTATTGAGAAAGCAGTGGCTGATTGCCTCTCTGCCTCCTCCACTACCCTTAACCTGTCTGTGCCTGGGGAGGTGGGTCCAGTAACTGTCCTACACCACTGCAGTTCTTTCTGTGCCTTTGTGTTTGTGTGTCTGGGTGTTGTTCTGAATCTGTGTGATGTTTCTTTCTTTGAATGTCACTGACTGGCTTTGACTGTCACAAGCTATGGCATATGAACCCACTCTGCTTTATCTGTGCTTTTACTTTGTCTTTGTTCAATATCTACATCTATTCAACAGAAACCATTTTTCTGAGACCCCAGAGTTCTAAGACATGGATTGGAGTACTGATTCCCACTTCCTTACTTGGTAACTTTGATTAGCCTCTTCTTTGAGCTATTTTCTTGTGTATGTGAGTATATATATATATATATATATATATATATATATATATATATATATATAATTTTGGAAGGAACCTGGAGATTTGTGCATATTAGGCAGATTCTGTGCCATGATACAGTGTATCCCAGTGTGGCCTTTAACTTGCCATCTTCCTGTATTGGCTCCTAAAGTAGCTGGGATTATAGACCTGCACCATCAGGATTGGCACTGGGTCCTGTTTTTGAAGTAAAGAGAGAAACCCAGGGCAGGGACAGGCTCTTTGGAGGCACCCAGACATTAGTTGCTCTTCTGTCACCCCTGCTTCTGCTTATGATGAATCTAGGGGCCAGTGTGTGTGCACAGAGGCTATGAATTGATCTGGCCTGGTGTAGTCCCTGCACCTTAACCAACTTCACACAAGGTGGTCTTTAAGGAATCTGGATGACCCAGTGAAAAAGACTTGTAAACAGAGGTACAGACATAGTGAGAGACACAGATCAAAATTCCCACCAGCTGGCTACACGTAGAGCCCGAGACCTGGCACTGGGGTGGTGGTGGAGATTGATTCCTGTTTCCCTACTTTCAGCGTCTAGGAAGGCTTGGCAGGGGGCAGCTGAAATTACTGTGTGGGGACATGACTCAGAAGACTGATTCAGGTATTCTCCCGTGTACCCTGATACAGGCAGCTTTCCAAGATTTCACCTGGGATAAGCCACTGCTGTGGTTGAGTTCTGCACAGTCAGTCTAGGGCAGGACACAGGGAAAGACTGTAGAAATCAGGAGACAGGAATGGGAACTGTACCCTAAACTTGGCCAGGGGCACATGGGTCCTCTGGTTCTTTATCTGTGTGTCCTGTGTCTGCAAATCTCTTCCTAATTCCTTGTCTCCCATCATCTTCTTTCCTCCTCCTCCTCCTCCTCCTCCTCCTCCTCCTCTTTTTCTTTTCCTTTCTTTTTCTTGCAGGTAGATCTCTGTTGACAAGCCTGGCCTGGGCCAGAAGTGGAATGATTTTACAATTGCTTGTCTCCCTGAAGTATTGGTTTGGCTGTCATGGAACTGCAGAAGACTGTGGCTGCACTAGGCCCAGGAAAACATCTAATAGCTGGAAGAGACCATGCTGATGGTCCCCAGTCTATAAAGATGTACTAAGGACAAAAGTGTCTTTGGGAGGTCTATCAGGGGAGGGATGCAGGCCTTCTAGATGTACAGGAGAAAAGACAATGTGAGCGAAGAAATCAGGGTGTTAGCAAGGAGGTGGTGGTCTCAGGTAGGGGACACAGCCTGCAGAAGTCTGAGGACTAATTGAGGAGAAATAGTTGTGAGGGAAGAGAGTGGAGAGAGAGGGTGTGAGAGAAGATATTTGGTGAGAGTCTGAGGATATCAGAGTCTGAAGGAGAGGTAAATCTTGTAAGCCTGTCCAGTACAGTTTGGGAACTACCCTGTTATCTTATTTAAGTTCCTAAGTAATCCTTTGAAACACCAGGTCTCTAGTCCTCAAAGTGACTACTACTCAAAATCCTATCTGTCTGTCTACCTATTTATCATTGACCTAAAGAAACTTAAGGGTGGCTCTTGAAAATCCCACATCACTAGTGGGTGTGTGCTCTTCTTTCCCTTCCTTTGTCTTAGCTTCCTGCTTAAATTGCATTGATAAATTCCAACTCTGTTTCATACTGGCTTCTCCTGAGATTTTTATTTTTTATGTAATGAAGTCAAGAATTCTGGCTTACGGGACTAGAGAGATGGCTCAGTACCAAAGAGCACATATCGCTCTTCTAGAGGACTCAGCTTTGATTCCCAGCACACAATTACCTGTATCTTCAGCTTCATGGGATCTAATTCTTCTGGCTTCTGTAGGCTCTAGCACATGTGCTCCATAATTAAAAGTATTTAAAAAATAAAAGTAACTTTAAAAAAGAATCCTGGCTTTACCTGAGTGGCAGTCGGGTAAAGAACACCTCAGGTTGCTGAAGGGAGCAGGGGAAAATCATTTTCCACTTTTGCTCACAATGCAAATGGTTTCTGAGGATTTAGAGGAAGTGGAGGGCCAGAGGTACCTGGGACCCATAAAATAAGGAAATGAAGAGAGAAGTGGGAAGGGGCAAGGAAAGTCATTGCCCTGTTGCTGAAACATTTCCTAGAGCCTTCCACTACTCAAAAAAGATCCAGTGCCCACAGCAGCCTCCTGTCCAGTGCCATCATGGAGATGCAGAATCAAAATAAACACCCTTCTAGGCCTGCCAACAAATTCCTGAAATTCCTCCTCCCTACAAGCATTCCCATGCCCCCTTTCCGCACTGTGATCAACTTTTTGTTCTTTATGGTAAATTTCAGTGTTTTGTTATTTTCCTCTGAATTCTGAGCAGTGTATTTTGAGGAATGAAATTCTGTTCATGAACATTTCACACAAGTAATCTGTGAAGATTCTTGCCTGACCCCGTGTTAACAATCTTTGTGCCTCTCTTGTCTCCTCTAGGCACACACACCTTACCAGAATGCATTTGGTTTTAGTTTCCCTCTTGCTTAATTTACAGAGTTGTGTGTCCTCATCCCAGCCTATGTCTCCCTAGGCAACTAGAACTACTAGGTGCTTGAAGTAGCCATGTCTCTGGGTCTTGGAGTGCCTAGTGAGTATCAGTCCTTGGGTCAACAATAGCCTGAGATGGGATGTGCAGCTTCTTAAGAGACCACCTGGGTGAACTGCAATTGGGAGAAATGTCCTTCTATACTCTTCATCTCAGAATCATTTGAAATGACCATATCTGCATTGTGACTGAATAGTGTTATAGTCAATATTCCAATTTCTGCTCTTTTGAATGCTGTTCAAATTCCATTCTGTTGCTATGACAAACATCATAACCAAAACAGCTTCTGGATGAAGGAGTTTATTTCAACTTACTTTTTCAGGTCATGGTCTATCACTCAGGGAAGGCAGGGCAGGAACTTGAAGCAGAAAGCATGAAATAAGCTGCTTGCTGGTTTGTTCTTTGGCTCACACCCAGCTAAGCTGTTAAAACAACCCAAGATTACCTGTCCGGAGGTAGCATTACCCATAGTGGGCTGTAACTTTCCTATATTAATCAACAATGAAAATAATTCCTCACAGACATGGCCACTGACCAATCTGATCTGGGCATTCTCATAGTTGAGACTCTCTCAGAGGCTGCCAGCTCAGGATAATTAGGAAAAATACACACCAACAACAATTGACTATATGATACTTTTATTATCCGTGTATGTGGGTGTTTCTGTTTACATGATGTGTTTGTGTTTGATGTCAACATCTGACATGTTGAAGTCAGAGAAAACTTTTGTAGACTCCATTCTCTTCCACTCTCAGGAATTGAAGACATCAAGCTTGCTGAGACATAATTTTTATTTTAAAAATAACTATTTTTATATATGTATATTTTGTCTGCATATGTGTCTGTGTACCATATGAGTACCTGGTGGCCTTGGAAGCCAGAAGATGATATCACATCCCTAGACTACAGTTACAGACAGTTGTGAGGTGCCATGTGGATGCTGTGAATCGAACCCTGGTCCCCTGCAAGAGCACACAGTGCTTTTAATTGCTGCACTCCAGCCCTGTTTAATTTTTTTAAAGAAGTAACCTAATACTTTATAAAAAATAATTGTACTAATTTTATATTCTTCCTCTTTAAAATTATTTCATACAGGTGAAATACATTTTTTTTATTACACACTTACCTAATTGTCTATTCACAACAAATCTCCCTGAATACTTTTATGGTTTTTTGTTTGTTTTTGGTTTTTGGTGGTGGTGATGGTATGTATCTGTGTCCTACTACATTTTACTAGGGTGTTTTTGTATAGAGAGGGTTTATTTACTTAAGCAAGGGTGCCTTCCCAGTGACCACACCAATGAGAAATATGACACCCCTTCTTCTAGTATCTTTTAACAGCTTAGAGCTCCGTTGAGAAAGGTGAGGCCTTATTGCCTATCCCCCATCCATGATGGACTGTTAATGTGCAAGTAGGCACTGCAGCTATGAGTTCCTAGATGCAATAGGCATGCCGTTTCTGAAAGACAGTGTTTCCTAGTACTGCTTCCCATGCCCTCTTCAGTAATGTTCCCTGAGCCTTGGAGGGGATAAGAATAGGTGTGCCATGTACTGGCTGAGCAGTAAACACTCACTTATTCTCAGCATGCTAGCCAGTTACAAGTGTCTATATATTAACTGTTGCCCACTGTGAACAAGTTTCTCTGACCAAGACTGAGAGCAGTTCTACATAATTTAACATTCTTTACCACAGAGTATGTGGGGTTGCCTTTAGCCACACCCTTGTCCTTTCAAATACTTGTACTGTTTTTTTTTTGTTTTGTTTTTGAAACAGAGTCTCTCTTTGTAGACCATGCTGGCCTAGAACTCACAAAAAACTGTCTGCCTCTGCCTCCCTTGAGTAGAGTGCTGGGATTAAGGTGTGCATAACCATTCACATAGCTGTGTTGAGAGAGCATTATGTTCTTTCTGCATTACTCCTGGGCATTTCAGCCCATGGAAGTGGTTACATGACCACTTAAGACCATTTGTTTTTCTGGGGTCCAGAGGGATTTGCATGCGTCCAGATTCCTTTATTCCTAGAGCTTGGGCTGGGGTGGGGGTGTTAGCCTGTATTCCTTCAAATCACCTGTATTAGAACTGAGGCACTCAATGCATGGACAGATTTAATGGCCCTGGAGGTTGCAGTGGCTTGAGACTGGGCATTAGACTTTTGTAGTGAAACTGCTTAGAAACCTCTTTTAAAAAATTTCTTGGACCTCTGCATTAACACAGTTAAGATATTTATGTTAAATTTTCTTCCATGATACAAATCAAGCAATACCTTCTATAAGACACTATCTTTGTTTCTTTCTTGTTATAAAATACACAGACAAAAGCAACTTAGAAGAGAAAGGGTTTATTTCAAATCACAGTTTATGAACATATTCCATTGATGCAGGGAAGTTACAGGGGCTTGAGATAGCTGGTCTCATTGGATCCATAGTCACAACAAAGGGAACACTGAATGTTTGCATGCTTAGCTCCCTCTCTCCTTTCTTAAAATTCCTTTGAAATAATACATCCATAGTGGGCAAGTCCTTTCACCTCAGTCAAGGTATTTTAAAACAACAACAGAAAAAAAAAGACTCCTATGACAACTTAATCTAAACAATTTGTCATTGAGGTTCCCTTCCATGATTCCACATACTGTTAAGTCTTCAGCGGAAACCATAGACAGAGCATAGTGAACTCCTCATTTTATGTTCCCAAAGCTGAGTACTTGGGGTTTAAAAAGAAATGTGTCATTACAGGGTTCTGTATCATTTGAGGACATCTCTTTGGACTTTACCTGGGATGAGTGGCAGGATCTTGATTCTGCTCAGAGGACACTCTACAGGGATGTAATGCTAGAGAATTATAGCAGCCTCATGTTTTTGGGTAAGTCTGTCCTGTAACTCTGTGCACCAATTAAATTCTTAGTTGATAATTATAAGAAGTTTTGCTGACTCGTTTTCTTTCTTTCTGGTTTTTGTTTGTTTGTTTGTTTTTTGTTGTTTTTGTTTTTCAAGACAAGGTTTCTCTGTGTAGTCCTGGCTATCCTGGAACATGCTCTGTAAAACAGGCTGGCCTTAAACTCAGAGATCCACCTGCCTCTGCCTCCCAATTGCTGTATCTTAGAGTTTTATTGCTGTAAAGAGACACCATGACTACAGCAACTTTTTTTTTTTACTTCTTTTTTTTAATTTATTTTACATATCAACTACAGATCCCCTTCTCATTCTTCCTCTCAATACTCCCACCCCCACCTAGCCCCTCCCCAATTCACCCCCCATCCCCTCTTCCAAAAGGGTAAGTTTGCCCATGGGAGGCAGCAAAGCCTGGTACATTCAGTTGAGGCAGTACCCAGTCCCTCCCCACTGCCTCAAGGGTCAGCAAGGTATCCAACCATAGGTAATGTGACCAAGGAATAGATCCTGATCACACTGTCAGGGGCCCCTCAAACAGACCCAGCTACACAACTATCTCCGGTATGCAGAGGGTCTAGTCTGGTCCCATGCAGGTTCCATAGCTGTTGGTCTATAATTCATGAGTTCCTATGGGCTTGGTTCAGTTGTCTCTATAGATTACCCCATCATGATCTTGAACCCTCTTGCTCATATAGTCCCTCTTCCCTCTTTTAGACTGGACTCCTGGAGCTCGGCCTGGTGCTTGGTTGTTTGTCTCTGCATTTACTTCCATCAGTCACTGGATGAAAGCTCTATGATGACAGTGTATTCACCAATCTGATTACTAGGGTAGACCAGTTCAGGCACACTCACCACTATTGCTAGTAGTCTGATCTGGGTCATCCTTGTGGATTCCTGGAAATTTTCCTAGCATCAGCTTTCTCTCTTACACCATAATGTCTCCCTCTATTAAGATGTCTCTTTCATTGCTCTCCCACACCGCCCCTGCGCCAGCTCAACCATCCTGCTCACTCATGTTCTTATCCTCTATCCCCTCCCCTCTATTGTACCCACTCATCCCCAATTTACTCATGGAGAACTCTGTTTCCTCCTAAGGCGACCCATATGTCCCTCTTAGGTTCCTGCTTGTTTCCTAGCTTCTCTGGAGCTATGGGTTATAGTCTGATTATCCTTATGGCAATTCTTATAAAGGAAAACATTTAATTCAGGCTGGCTTACAGTTTCAGAGGTTTAGTTCATTATCACCACAGTGGGGAGTATGACTGCTGGGAGTATGGAGCCATGCAGGTAGACATGGTGCTGGACAAGGAGCTGAGAGTTCTGCATCTTGATCCACAGACAACAGAAGGAGACTGTATTATACACTGAGTGTAGCTTGGGCATAGGAGACCTCAAAGCCCACCCCCACACTGGCACACTTCCTCCAACAAGATGACACATCTGCATAGTGCCACTTTCTATGAGCCAAGCATTCAAACACATGACTCTGTGGGGGCCATACCTATTCAGACCACCACATACTGGGATTAAAGGCATTCACCAACTCTGCCTGGCTAGGATTATTGCTGACTTTTAATACAAATTATATATTATACACTTAACTAAGATGTACTAATAGCATATATTTATGGAGAACTTACACAGTTATATATTTATGATGTAACACTTAAAATTTAATGATGAGATGCAGGTGACCATTAAGTTGGGCAGCTTAGGCATTGCTTGTCTGTATTGGGAATATTTAACATCTCTCTGACAGGTATTTTAAAATATTCAACTAATTGCTATGTACCATCTGTCACTCATCAGCTAGGTGGTGGTGGTGCATGCATGCCTTTAAGCTCAGCAATCAGGAGGCAGAGGCAGATGAATCTCTGAGGTCAAGACCAGCCTGGTCTACAGAATGATCCAGGAGAGCCAGGACTACACAGAGATCCCTGTCTTGAGTGGGGTGGGAGGAAGTTACTCATCACTTCCATAGGCATCTTAGTAAATACTCCCTATCTTTTTTCCATTCCCCTCTCCCTTTTAACTTTTCCACATGCTAATAATTGCTGTTTTTTTCCTCTGGTGCTGCAGGGAACCTTAGCTTGCAAGTAAGATGAAAACTGTTGGGTGTTTTTTATATTTGTTGTTGTAATGTTTTATGACATATTTAGATTATGCCTTTGAATTTCCTGAGCAGACATAAAGTGTTGGTTTTATGAGTTACACAGGATAATCAAAGAAAGAGGGTCAATCAGGCTCTGAGGCAGAAGAGGTCCAACCTGTTATAAGACTGAACCTATAACAGCCATGTGGAAGCATATTTATGGATTGTTACACTAAAGTATTTTGGGTAAAACAGATTCCTCATACCAAAGCCTCTGATCTAATCTATATGTTTTGTGAAGGAAAACATCATACCCCCACACATTTAGTTTGTATGTGCACTGTTTGCTGTACCCAATAATGCATGATGTTCCAGGTGTGTCAGGACTGTCTTGTGACTAAAGTCATGAAAAGACTTTAAAGCTCCTTCAGAAAAACAACTCTATAAATCACAGAAAACAGTCACCATTTTTACCTTCAGCACAGTGGCTGTGCCCTAGTCTACTGTTATTTCAGCCAGCAATTGCAACTCTGAAATTACCGACCTGCTTCTCCAGAAGTTGCCTGGCCACTCAGGCTGCAGCCTACTGGGAATTCTGTTCCTGAAGGCACCAGCTCTGTCACTGCCACTGAATGTACCTTTAACTAAATCTATTGTTCTGTTTATAAATAAGACTCAAGATTCAAAGGCTGGGGTGAAAACTTGAAAGCTTAGAGAGGCTGAGTAGCAAAAAGCTGGTTTTCTCTCCCTGTTGGCATCTCTGAAAGACTGTACCTCTACTCTGCCAAACCAGAAAAACCTGTGCCACTCCAAATCCCACCCAACTACTTCCTGTGTCTCTCTATCTCTCCTGGAAGCCCTTTGATGTTTTATTACTTTCTGTCAATTAGTTGCTAACTTAGCCTCCTTACCCAATGTTAATTGTAGGCAAAGTTTTCCTGTCCTGACCACCTGCTCCCAAATAAACCACTCAGGGTCTTAATATTAATTATAAATGCTAGGCCAATAGCTCAGGGTTATTACTAACTAGCTCTTACTTTAATTAACCCATTTCTATTAATCTATGTGCTACCCCGAGGCTCATGGCATTTGACTCTCAGGCATATCTTGCTTCCTCTCCATCTGCTTGGCAACTCCTCTGACTCCATCCTTCTTTTTTCCAGTGTCCTTAGTTTGATTGTCCTATCTATTCTTCCTGCCTGGCTACCGGCCAGTCAGCTTTTTATTAAACCAGTCTGAGAGATAGATTGTCACCGTGTACATAAGGATTATTCTACGGTATTTCCCTTTTTTTGCCTAATTAAAAAGGAAGGTTTTAACTTTAATACAGTAAGATTATATACAACAAAAACAATTATTAAGAATTACTGTTACAATGTCCAGTCCAATTGTATTTGACAAAATTGGAGAAAATATTCTATTATCCATCTTTGTGAGTCTAAAATTTTATATCTAATTTACCTTTTATCATAACTAAGGAAAACTTTAAGTCTAATTATTTAGTCTTTAACTCCCTTAAAGACCCCAGAAGGGTAAAATGTTATCAAATGACAGAGACATCTGGCTGTCTAGACAATCACCCAAAGTTCTTCTGCAACATTGGGGCAACCATCTTTGTCCTACAGGCCTATTATATCTGACAGACTTTTTTTTGTGAAGCAAAGAATTTTGAAGGACTGTGCTACCTTGTCTTGGCAAAGTTTAACAGTCACTTATTTTGCATCTTACCAGTCTGGTTTGGACAGTATATTGTCAGAAATTGAGGCAAGGGGAGTTTCTTTGCCCAAATGGCTAGCTTTTGACATAACGAAAATAAACCCCATATGGAGTTTCTTCGATGCCCATCATCTTCTCTCAAATAAATTGGTGCTGCCTGGAGCAGACATGTTTCACTGTCACAAAAAGCCTTATGTTGTTAAAATATTTTAAATGCCATACTCTGTAGGTCTTTGAAGTGTTTGAAGACCATATATCTATCCAAATATATCTGTTTAACCTCTAAAACATACCTAATATGACTACAAGTTTGATTATTATAGGTGACTCTTAACCTTTATTTCTTAATTATACACTACATTTTTAAATGAGTTGTATAAGTACAGTGTCTCAAACAAGAGTAGAAACAAATGGATAATATAACAGAAATAACTTTAAATAGGTATCCATATATTAAAATCCATACGAATGTAAAATATTTTGATGTTAGTAGTTGCTTTGGGATTAAAGTAAATTCAATATTCTACCCCTTTTTTCCTATTATTTCTATATCATATCCTCATGTTTTCTTTGGAAGAAGATCTTTGAATTTAACTGTTGTTTAGCTTTTTTTTTTATGACCAATAACAACCCAACCTCCTTTAAATGATAAAGAGCATCCATAAGCAATATTTTGGGAATGTGGGCATCATTCTCTAGATTATTGCATGTTGTTTGTGGGTGTTTGTGAGAAAATTTAGGATAATGGTTAAGTCTTGGCTATAGTAGTCTGTGAGGCTGGTTCATCTTAGCCAGCAGCCTTGAAGTTGTTCTGGATGCTGGATCAACTAGGCCATCTGTTTTTATTGGAGTTTGATCCCATTGCTCTGAAAATACATAAACTTTTAAAGATAACATAAATATCTGTATTAATAAAAGTATAGACTGCATATTTATTGTACACAAATCAGCCAAAGATTGTAGATGTAACCAACCGTCTTATTAAATAAGAAACACAGAAACAATGTAAAAGAGGAAGCCAAGAGGTCAGAGCTCAGAGCTAAAAATCTTACCCTTCTTCCTGTAGTGCTCCTAGCTCTCCGAAAAAGACCTACTTCCTGTGTGTATGTCTTTAAATAGTCTTTCTATTCTGCTGTCTCATTGGTTGTAAACCCAAACATATG